ATCCGTCCATTTGAGGGGCCCATGAAGCTGGAGCGGTCCACTTGAGGCTACATCCGTCCATTTAAAGGACCCATAAAGTTGGAGCGGTCCACTTGATGGATCCTAGAAGTTGTAATGGTCCACTTGAAGCCAAATCCGTCCTAGGCTCGTTGAAGAGGACCGCGGGAGAGGACTGCCAGAGAGGAGAGGACCACTGCTGGTGGACCAACGGAAGGAGTGGCTTGGAAATGAGGACCGCTGGAAAGGAGGACTGCCCGGAACGAGGACCGCCGCCAAAAATGAGGACCGCTGGAAAGGATGCTCGCCACTGAAAATGAGGACCGCTGGAAAGGAGGCTCGCCACTGCCGTCAGCGGCTCACCTCTGCCGTCGACGGCTCGCCACTGCCGTCCGCAGCTCCCCACTGCCGTTTGCGGCTCGCCGGGAGAAGTGGGAGCTCGCTGCTGGATCGATGCTAAAGTGGCTGTGGTTCGCCGCTGGATCCCGTCGGAGGTGAAGCACGCTAGAGGGCTCGCCGATCTGGGAGGATGCTCACCGACCCTGGTGGAGGGTACTGCCGGCGGCCCTACCGCGTGCTCGCTGCTCGCCGGAAAGATCCCCGCGGTCCGTGGCTCGCTGGTGGTCCGGACTCTAGCTCGCCGTTCGCCGAGAAGATCCCGCTGTTCTTCATGGTTTGCCGGAGGAAGGAGGAGGCTCGTTGGACCTGGTTGTGGACTGACGGAAAGAGTGGCTCGCCGGAGAGGACCGGGAGTGGCTCGCTAGGGGGCTGGATCGGCTCGCCAGTGGCTCGCCGGTGCTCGCCAAATGCCTGTCGATGCTCGTAGTTGGTTGTCGCCGGATCTGTGAAGAAGACCACTCCTCCCTTTTTCTATTCTTTTCTCCTTCTCTGACTTTTGAACCTTTTTTTTTCTTCTTGATTCTCACTTCGTATCCCTCCTCCTTTGTTTTGTTTTGTTTTTTTACTTTCTCAACCCACTTTTTTTTCTCTATTACGGACTCGGAACACAAAAGCTTTTTGTGACGAGTCCCACTGATGGCGCCAGTGATGGAAACCGCTTTTTCGGGGCGTCGACCCGATGAAATCGGTACCGGGTCGGCACCGCACCGAATAGCGAAATCCGGAAATTAAATATATAAATAAAGTGGAGAGAAAGTATTTATACGTGGAAACCCAAATCGGGAGAAAACCACGGGCCTTTTTAGGCGGTGCCATGCCAAAGGGGAGGAACTTTTATTAATCTCGGGGGAATTTACATATACATCACTGTAGGAGCTTGGAGCCATTAATAGAGCTCCAAGCTAAAAGAAGAAGAAGAATGAAGAATAGTATTGAAACTTGTAGGAAGTTGGCCTCCCTCCTCCCTCCTTCGTAGCTTGCATTTAAAGGGGAGAAGGAAATAATTGATGGAGACAAGAGGGGACATTGTCCATGTGAAGCCCATGTGCGGCATGTGGTTTCCATGTGATAGTGTTCCACGGGTCCCGCCAAATGTCTCCACATCACTTCAAATATATTCTTCTGTCCATATATCTCTGGTTCTGTCTTGAATAATTTATCTGATTTATATCTTGGGCCAGATAAAATTGGGCTTTCTTGTACTGTTCAAATAATATTGGATTAGGAAAAATCCCTAATCCATCATTAACGTAACACAAAAATCTAAAGCATATGATTTTTAATAGTTATATTTTATAAAATATAATTTGTGTAAGATGCAAATGTATTAATGTTTTTATATACGAAATATAGTATAGTATAAAGAGTATCGTAAGTTAAATTACAAATTGATGTTGGTCCATTATATAAATTACATAGCATGATTATTCAAATATTCGTTTATGATTCGATAACTATTCGAATATTAATCAAATACTTATTCAAATATTATTTTGAATTCGTCTCATATTCGGATTCGTATTCGAAAAAATTAAACAAATACAAATTCAAATATATCGGTATTCGCTTCGATTCGGTTCGTTTACACCCCTAGAGGTAACGATGAATGAGAAGATAAGGTGGAGAAGAGTGATTTATTTTAGGGGTAGTTTAGATATTTTACTCTTAAAAGTTTACGATAACAAGAAACATGCAACTTATTTTGGGACGGAGAAAAAAGAAAAACAGACAATTTAAAATGGGACAAAGGGAGTACAAAGCACTCTCACTTTGGGTGTTTCTCTTTTTCTCGATGCCGGTGCTTATAGATTTTTGTTGATAAGTAATTTTTAATTTAAAAACTACTTATAAGTAAAATATTCTTTCGTATAGATAAAATGAATAAAATGATATAGAAGTCATTCGATGATATTCATAATAGGTGAGGAATAATTTTGTAAATAATCTGGTCAAAACGGATAAACGAAAAAACTTACTTAAAATTAAGTAGGTAAGACGTACTTACTTTTCCTGGCTCATAATCAGCTTATAAATTAACTTATAAGCACAGAAAAAAGTCACCAACTGACTTTTAAGTTAAAAATAAATTATAAACAAGTTTGACCAGTTTAAAAGCACAGAAAAACACTTGCTACAAACTGCAAGTTAATAGGAGTAGAAAAATATGTACAAAACTATTGTGTTTTTAACAGGGCCGGCCCTAAGAATTTAATGGCAAAAAAGACCCAAAAGGACTTATGCCTAACAATTTAAAATTTAAGTTTATGTTCTAAAATATGTATTTTATCTTTTAATTGGTATTCCCTTGTCCGGTATATTGATATTTTGAAAAAAAGTTGTCCTGGTATGCCTTCCCTTTTTGTAGTGACTAGAACCTGTTGGGACTTGGGATTCTTATTAAACATCATTCAAAAGGATTGACACACAAATGAATTCTACCATCAGCTCACACAAAAGAACCAAAACTAAAGGTTAAAAATGAGTGGAAAATAAAAGTCTACAAAATAACAACCAAAAATATCTGCAAAATAAAGGGAAATTAAACGAAAAAGAATATTCTAAAATAATTAACATTTAATATACTCTAAGAATAATCCTACATTTAATATTATAAAATAATTAAATGAAGAATGAATATGTATTAACAAAATAGCTATTGACAATTATTTATGGCAGTGAGCAAATCTTCCTCCATAGACTACAATTAAAATTAAAATACTTTATGACACATTACAACATTAATAAAACTTTACAAACAGAACCTAAACATTTGCAGCAAAATCAAAGTTAAACTGCTAGAGTTACGCCCAAGTCAAACAATTGAAAAACATAAAACATTTGTAGCAAAAAAAGTGTAAGACAAAGTTACAACGAAAAATAAAAAATGAAATTAGCCCAAAAAAACCCTATAACCTAAACTTCCAAGCAATTCAAGTGAAAAAACAAAAATAAGAGTATGAAAAATATGAAGTACAAAAATCTTTATTGTGGTAACAGATTAATTGCAACTTCTCTGCAGTCAATTGAAAATATAAATCACCAAACATTCAAGATTTGAACAACCAAATATATAGTCGTTTAAGACTCGAAACTAAGACAAACTCAAATACCCCAAACTTCACAATGAAAAAGCTAAAAATCCGATGGAATTGAAGTGATAGTAATGGATATATTTGAACTAAAATCTGGCAGTTTTAATAGAAAAAGAAACCCAGAAGTGCATAGCCGAAATCACAATACAAACATTTTCTTTTACTTAGAGAAATTATAATTGAAGAAATCTAACTTGCAACTATTTTAGATGATTAAATTTCTAAGATAGTATGAGTAAAGGATGTAAAGCCAAGGGATAAAACTTATAAAAGGAAGCTGAAACTGAAAATTGGCGAGACTCAAGAGTAAGTGAAATAATACCTGGAGTGCTGGCGGCGGCTGGCGGGAGAAGAACCGGCAACTGGCCGCGAAGGTGAGGCTGATTTCCGACGGGTCGATCGCAGGTAGAAGGCTGATTTTTGCGAGGTGTCTCTCTGATTCCCTAAGAGCAACTCCAACCCGGAGTGTAAATTTGAGTAACCGTTAAAAAATAGAAGATATGCCCTTTCTTTACTGTTCAAAATTGAGCTCTCCAGTGCATCTCCTAAAATATACACCGTAGTCTATTTTACCATTCAGAGCTGCCAAATATAAGAGTTACTGTACCCAAATGGAAAAGCTTTTACCATTTTATTAGTTCTCTGTTCCATCTCCCCCACGAAGAATCCCAAAATCTGAACACACAGATTTGGAAACCTTTTCAGTTTTCACCAACGTATGGAGCTGAGTCAACTAAAGCGCCGCATAAGAGAAAACCACAGCTCAAAAGGTGATCTTAAGAACTTCTCCACTGTTCGTCTTCTTCGATCTAAACTTCTCCACTGTTCATCTTCTTCGATTTGGACTTAGCTTCGCCATTGATGAATTTGTTTTTAGATTAATAAATAGCATGAATTAAATATTACCAAGTATAAAATTATATTATTTAGAAGATATGGTTGGATTGAATATAAAAAACTTGAAGTGTAAAAGACTATTGATAGTGTAAAGGAGGGTTTACACTATCAAAAGAGTAAATTCCATAATTGGTCCATTATAACAAGGGGATTTCCATATTTAGTCCTCTATTATCAAATATTACTCCTGTAGTCCTTTTTTAAGGGTGCCTTTCCACAAATGATCCTTTTTTTAATCTTCTGCCAAGTTGGTGTTAATTTAAAGGCTAAAAGCATAATTTGACATCAATATTATGTCTAGTGACGTGTTCTGATATTGGTTAAGCGAATTACACATGACTATGATTGTGGACTAGAATTCAGATAAAAGACCACATTTGTAGACTATGGTTGTAGTAGAAAGCGACTGTAATTCACAAACGACGCAAACGGAACAGCCTTTGGAATTGTGTATGAAAAAAAAGATATATTATTATTGTGAAATTACACTTTTAGCCCTCAAATTAACACAAACATGATTGAAGATCAAAAAAAGGACTATTTGTGGAAAGATACCCATAAATGAAGGACCACTGGGATAATATTTAATAATAGAGGACTAAATAGGGAACCCCTGTTATAAAAGACCAATTATAGAATTTACTCTTATCAAAATTTAGACTACCCTTTGGAGATGCTCTAAGGCAGCGGCTCCAGCTTTGTATAAAGTAGGCTGATTTTTTATTTGGATTTTGGGCTTATGGAGTAATGGGCTTGTTATATGTATATATATATATATATATATATATATATATATATATATATATATATATACTCCGTATTTTTAAAAGAGAATTGGGCCCCTATAAAAGAGAATTGGGCCCCTATAAATGACGGACCCGGTCCGGTCGGGCTGTCCGTCCCCCTATGGGCCGGAACTTTTTAAATTTATGTGATGTGATTTATAAATTGATAGTATATAAATAAAAATATATTATTTACGTATTAAAAAATGTTTTTTTGACATGAAGTGAGTAATTGAATATTCTCTCTGTCCCAGAATAATCCTTACGAATGTTCTTAAAAGCAATTCTTACTTATGGAGCTAAAATTCAAGATTAGTTCTTTAATTTTATTAATCTTTTATCTTTCAAAAGTCTATAAGTAGTCATTTAAGTAATGATTATCATTGGAGAAATGACACTTATGAGGTATGCGTTAAAGCTAAACGATTCATAAGAAAATGACTAAGAAAGACTTCTTCGTTCACATATGCTCAAATTCACTGCTTCGTCTTTCATCAACTAGCTTCTTTCGATAGACAAAGAGAGGAAATTGAAGCAGCTAATTGGAAGGGACTAGGGAGTATTGGTTCTTTAACAAAAGTAGAATAACACGTCCTAAATTATACCTTTATTTTATAAAACTTTTAATTTTGTTTTGAACTGTGTTATTTTTATAACTTTTTATTTTATACTAATTTGTAAATAAAATTATTTTAAAAATGATCAAATTTTACATATTCCTCCAAACGGAAACAATAAATTAGGATAGAGGGAGTAGTAGATGATAGGTTAGACTTCTACAATCAAATTTTATTAAATTAGACAAAAAAAACATTCACATATTACAAAGTTTTCTAAGTTACACTAGATATATTTGTTTTACAGAAACTTTCAAATTTTACATTTTGCCCTGGTTCTTTTCACAAGTATTAATGTCATAATATGCACTTATGATCTTAATTCAAAGGTTCTTACCCACTTAAAACCTCTTTATCTCCTCCCAAAAAATATCAATCGGCTATAGTTTCTTTGTAGCCAAATGGCATTTTTAGAGAGGGGAGCATATGACTAGAGGCATAGAAAGCATCAATTTATTTATCAGTAGTGAGTAAAAGTAACTTTAAAATACTAAGCTAAAGCCGTAAAACTATTATCGAATAGCTGTACTAAAAGATCAAAGCTAATACCAAAGAGACACCTTATCTAGATTTTTTTAATGTAGAACTCTAGATCGAAACAAACAGAGAAAATGTTGAAGTTACAAATAAAAAGTCACAAGTTTTACAAACTTGTAAATTTGAACGAAATGGTCTTAAATAATTAGAGAGTGGAAATTTATATTCACTTGCGAATTGTGAATTTGTTTTGCGTGTGACTAGCACTTCTCAAACAATAGCGCATTGCAGATATTCGACACTACCCTTCAAACGTTGGTAGGATTATTTTACATATTAATCATTCAACCCAATGTCTTTCATTGTATCTACTCAAAATTGTTAATTGCCACCTGAACAATGTCATATGTAAGCAAGACATGCATTACCTTATAAAATCAATCAGCTTGCCAGGAAACTTCAGTGTGAACAAGAACAAGAATGTGGAGGTGGGGGCTCTTCACCACCACCGCCACCAGAAGCTGATACGTAACTACGCTCCCAAGTATCGGATGCATCTGCATGCGGAACATGCCGAGGATGTTTTTCTCGCTTGTCGCCTTTGATCTGCTTCAAGGCATGCTTAAGGGCAGGGATCAGTGCCTCCATGCACTCCGCCACCGCATTAGGATTCCCAGGCATGTTTATAATCTGCAATGATGTATGAAGACACACCAGCAACTAACACAGTAAATGTCCCCTCCTGCGAAAATGTCACTTTCCAAGGGGGAAAAAAGAGGGGTGATGTTTGATTCCGTACATGGCACAACCTAACAGTATTCCACTTATCTATAGAGCGTGGAGCTTAATCCCTTGAAATTGGGGAATTCTATGTTTGGAACTCAGGATATGCAAAGGGAAACTACTACTACTATAACCTAGCTAGTAACAATTTAAGTACGCAAGTGGGCTCTGGTCTGGATTCGGGCTTCTGATTGCCTTTGATTGGTTCAGGTATGCATGTCCTACTCTTGTATATACTATATATGTAGGCATGTTAGTAATGTCATGTTATATAGTTCACCCCAAAAAAAAAGTAAAGAGGTAGTTTCAGAATACCCCCAAAATGCAGAGGGAAATGGTAAAAGAAGTTATGAAGGAAAAACAAATTTGATTAGGGTCTTTGAAATTTTACTTCTATTTAAACTTTGTAGTCTATGTAATAAAAATACATTACTAAAATGAGCCTGAACAAATATTAAAATCATCACGCTTGAACAAATTTTGTATTTTTTATCCCTCAAACCTTTTGTCCTTCCAAATTTATCATCTACTTCGTATATACTTCCACTAGCATTTTTCTAGTTCCAAACACACCCAAAGATTCCACGAATTTATTTAGGAAATCCAACCATTCCAATGACGCACTTGAAATCACGCTAACAAGCACCCGTGAAAAGGAGTGGACAAGAAAACTTTGTTGTGCATCTGCACGAAATTCAACTTGGAAGAAGTTTTGGGTGCAATCATATATGCCTAAATCATACAAATCAAAGTCACTGACATACCAATGTGGAGCCTCTAATGCCAGCTGCTGAGCGAGTTAACATTGCAAATGGTGTGACCTGTTTACAGTTATAGTCAGAAAAGTAATCAAATCGGATATAGGTTTAAGAGAGAAAGGGGTCATTGAAATAGCCTTTATTTTTTAAAGTGCCTTTTAAGTTAATATATTGGTGCACAATTCTTTTCATTTTGAATTTTGAAGTTGAGTTGTGAATAACATTTCATTAAGAATCCATATAAAGACTTGAAATTAGAGTGGGAAGAAAGTGGTAGAAAGTACGGTACGTTAGAGATCACTCACTATATAGTAAATACTAGGGAAAACAAGACTTAGGTGCGGCAATTGAAACCATTTTCTTGTTTACCTTTAAACTCTCCTGCATCATCACATGCAGAAGACCAGGTGTCTCTCTCTGAATCAAAGCTTTAGTGGCTTCGGGAGTGTTGTCCCTTGGAGTAAAACCAGTCCCACCTGATTTACAAAATCAGTTATTTCAGAAATTTTGGCCTCATTTAAATTCAAATGTTGGCAAAATTGAATTCATGGAAGTTAGTGTGGAAACTGTGAATTAAATTATACTTCGTACTCCTTCTGTCCCATAAAATTCCTCAAACTTTCCTTTTTTGGATCTCCCAAAAAAGGGCCACAAGGTTATATTGACACCCAAAATGGGTGTCATATTATGACACCGGTTAAATTGAGCCCTACAGTGCTCTGATTAAAAAATTGATGGCTTATACTCTCCTAACCCCCCACCCAATAAAAACAACAAAATCCAAAGTCAACTAAGAATGGGGGCTCAATTGACGGGGGATGGGGGTGGGTTTGGGTCGAGCCGGTTGGGGGTTAGGGGGGTAGGAACCATCAATTTTTATCGAAGCACCGTAGAACCTCAATTTGACCGGTGTTATTCAATCTGACACTCAAAACGAGTTTAACTATAACCTTGCCGCCCAAAAAATACCTTACACTTACTAAATTCCCTATTTTGGTAATGAATATATGGCTACCAACAATTCTCTCTCCTCTAAACAAATTATAACCACACTTTTTACTTTTCAACAACTTTCTTAAACTCCGTGAACTAAAAAGTGTCAAGGATTTTATGGGATGGAGTATAATGTTTGACATGACAGAAACAAAGCAGTATCAGGGAGGCATCGTGTGCCTGCAGTTTCTTGAACTGAGAAACACCAGAAATCAGGGTGTACGACCAAACAACTCCCAGCAATGCATCTAGGTTCTAACGGAAACAGTCTCTCTGTTTCTACAGGGCAAGACTGTGTACATCTTCACCCCATACCCCAAAAGAGCTGGGATTATACTGGGTTGTTGTAAACTCCCTGTCCAAAAGAGGCCTGGAATTATCAAGCTAAATTCTGTGGCAGAAACATAAGATCATCTATTGCTTGATCTACAGAACACATCATAATTCAAAGCATACCTAGGGTAAGAACAAGATCCATGTTGTCAATATCACACCATCTCCGTAAAATATCCCTAATGCTCTGCACATCATCTGGAACAACAGCTGTTGCAACTACTCTTGCCCCTCCTAGTCTCTCTGATGATGAATTCACAACAGAAACTGCACGTGGACCACTGATAGATGTAAAGAAAATGTTGAAGTTAGATCTAGTGATGAAAAATCAAATCAAGGCCAGTTCGGAGTGGTTGCTAGTTTTCTATTTTTGGTTTTATGATTTTAAAAGTTACATGTAAGGCTGGCAATGGAACGGATGGAGCACCACCTGATCCATTGAGTTACTGATAAGCTACAAACAACCTGTTAGGGGTAAACCGGGGGTCTTATCAAGTTGATAATTTAGTGGCGGATATGCGGAGGAAAATGGAAGGGAAATAGTGGGCGAAAGTATTGAGGGTGTTTTAGGAGTTCTTTTTTGGTATTTTATGGAAGAAAAAGAATAGGATTAAGAAGGAGAAATGGGGGGATATGAAATGGAAGAAAATCAAGGATGGATAAACCAAGTTGGTGTTTAAGAGATATTACACACTCTTATCCTAACTTGGGGTTTGAATCTAGAATTTAATTAAGATATGACACACTTAATTAAATATCTAGAACCTAAAACTCACACTTAAGATAACCACTCTTAAGATATAGAATTAGGAATTTGGCTAAAATAGCATCACACTATTTTAATAATACTCAAAGAGTAAAAGATTTTCAATATTCAGAGATTGTTTTTACAATGGCCATAAGGCCTGATTATATAGGCAGGGGAAGGGGGAAATAATACACAATGCAATGAATGTGAACATAAGGAAGCTTCCTAGCAACATCCTCTCTCAAATCCCTGCAGCCATGTTTTGAGGTCCTTTTATTGGAATAAAATCAGGGATGGGTGTGGTTGTAGGGCCTCCAATGAAAAGCAAACTAGGGGGAATGAATGGCCTTCTTTTGGGCTGATTTTGGGGGATGTATTCAGCCAACTAGGGGGACAATGGGAAAGGATAATGTGTGGTACTCTGGCTGCATATATGAGGATTTATTT